TATTTTATTTTATTTTATTTTATTTTATTTTATTTTATTTTATTTTATTTTAGTTTAGTTTAGTTTAGTTTAGTTTAGTTTAGTTTAGTTTATAGTTCACCCAAAAATTAAATTACCCCATGATTTACTCACCCTCAAGGCATCCTAGCCTCGGTGTATATGACTATATGTAATATTCTTATTTCAGATTAATACAATCAGAGTTATATTAAAAACTGTCTTGGCTCTTTCAAGCTTTATAATGGCAGTGAATGGTGGTTAAGATTTTAAAGCCCAAAAAAGTGCATCCATCCATCATAAAAAGTACTCCACACGCTTAATATTCGCCTGAAAGAATAAAATCATATACAATGGCTTGAGGTTGAGTAAATCATGGGGTAGTTTTCATTTTTTGAGTGAACCATCCTTTTTAAGGGTCTGAATACTTTTGTGAGTATACAGAAAAAAAAACCTCTGAGTTCAAGTATGTCTTGTATTCCATTTGCATTTGTCATGGGAATGAGTGGCATCTTGAGCATCACAGACATTTCACGAGTTCACACTTACATATAATGAACAGAGTAAAGGTTATGCGTATTTGGCGTGCTGTCCGGGGAGAGGGCTCAGAGCTCGGTAATCACTCTCGAGCCCGGGGCACTCGGAGCGAGTGTTTTAAAAGTTAGCATGAAGACTGATGATGTAGACTAAGAGCTAGCATGCAGTGTTCTTCGGCAGATCCTTCTTGCTGCCTCCAGGGAGGGCGATGTTGAGTGTTTGTAGAGCAGATATTTAAGGGGCACTGCCACGGTTGAAGGGTTTAGATTTTCCTCATATTCTATAAAGCCAGAGCCAAGGGAGTTGACTGAGGAGATGTGAAGTGTGTGTATGTGTGTGTGAAAGAGAGAAAGGGGGAAAGGGTGAACTAAAAAAGCAGGGCACACTGCGCCGGGATCAACATGTGTCTGCAAAAGCCTAGAGGTTCTGCAACAATCTGTTCCGCTTGGTTCACTGCAGTGCTGTGACCTCGATTTCTGGACTGCTGTTGAGAGGCTCCTTGTACTCAGGCTTGACACAAGCACAGGACCGCCCTTCTCAATGCTGCCCCACCTTAGCAAACATGAGGATGTGTGTGTGTGTGTGTGTTTGTATGGATAGGGAGTTGCCCGTAAAGCTGTGCAGCTGGTGCGGGAAAGTGCTGGTCTCTCTGCCCCCCTGTCTAGGGTGGGATGAACATCTCGGCAGTTTGGCAGTGCTGAAAAATGACACTTTCAATTGGGGTCAATTGGACCCCTGCCTCTTGATCTGAGATGGCAGCCATGACGAGAGGTAATCTCAGGATGAGGAAATAATTGGCTTTCTGGAGGAAGAGTCGGCCCAGGCGGTGGAGATAGGAGAGGGCTCTGGACCACTAGGGGTCAGTGGAAGTCCACAAAACCATTCCAAGTTTGTGTAAACCTGAGTGTAAGTTCCTAAATATATACCTCTATGTCTACTGATGCAGCTTGGATAGATCTGTGGGAAACAGATGGATTATGTTAAAAAAGCTTCCACTGTCTCACGTCCAGCCCTAAAACAACATATTTCTTATTATTATCATCACAATTTTCGCTGCCATCTTCATCATTATCACCATAATGTTTATTAGGGATGCAAGTATCTGTAAAGTATTAGTTGATATTGGTTACTCAATTGCCCATGCTCATTTTTGTTCTGCTTATTTTTACATATAGATTACATTTCATGTCATCTGGCACTCATTTAAAATCAATCTTTAATATAACTAATACTTAATTTATAGGTTTCAGTTGATATAGACATGCTAATTCAAGACTGTTTTTGCAATTAAGTTACATTTGCTGATATGTAACATTCACTGAAATTGAATTTTATCTTTAATAATCGAATAATTAAATAATGCTAAAAATGAAAATGTACGTTTTATAATCTTAATATCAATCAATCTATCTATCTATCTATCTATCTATCTATCTATCTATCTATCTATCTATCTATCTATCTATCTATCTATCTATCTATC